GATCACTTGAACCCACATTGAACCTATGCATTAAAGATGGCCTAACCACCCCAAAGTCATCAAATTAACTCCACCTCAGCCATGAATTGGACCCTAGTGACCAGCCAAAACCTCTTAAAATCGCCTAAACTAAGCCTTGGACCAAAGGTCCCCTAAATCAAGGGATTTAATGTCATATTTGCCTAAGCCTTAGATATTTTTTGCCAAAACAAAGCCTAAAATCATTAAATTGTTGTGACATATTCCCCTGGGTTCCCTGAGCTCTTACCCACCTCCCCCTGGCCGGCCGGCCGGCCTATTGGTTGGAAAATGGCCAAACCAAGATCCACCCCCATGGGATTAAACCTAATTTAAACCTGGAGGCCACATCATCCAAATTGAAGCTTAGAGCCTCTTTGCCCTCCACCTAGGCAACACATTCCACCGTCCAATTGGCCATGACGGTCATCTCAAGCCATTTTTTTTATAAAAGCTCCCCTCCATGACGATGGAGGGAGAGCTAAAAATTACTCTAAGAGACTTCCCCAAATTGATTACAAAGCCTCTTTAAGACCTCCTGAGTGCAACCTAACCACCACATTGCCCTGAATCCCCTTGTCGGAGCCCAATTTTTGAGCTCAAAACCTTGCCGGAGACAAGACAAAACTCCTCACACCTCTAAACTCCACCAAACTCAAATTAAACTCACCTACACTTTCACAACAGTGAAAGGAGCTCAAACCCCATCAAATTCCCCTCTCACAGAGCCTCACCATAGCTCTAGACCAACACCCAAATCCGGTCGTGATCGAAATCATATATATGCCTCACACCAAGACCAGAGACTCAATCCCTAGACTCTTTGGATCACAACAAATGTGCCAAAACTCTCTGATCGAAGCTTCACTTCTCAGAGAAAAAGGTATAAAATCTCTCCCCCTCCCGAGCCTATTTTGATTCTCCATTTAATTAGGCTTAATTTAATTGCATGATTGCCGTATGGATGTGTTCGTCCCACTTAGATGAGTCCATAGTATCAAACCCAAAGTGATTTAGTTTAGTCTAGGTCGAGATCTTAAGGTTTTAGTGTGGACGATCATGAGGTCACCCTATCGGGGACGATGACGGGGAGCCATTTGATCAAGGATGTATCGAATGGATGGAGGAGATTGATCCACACAGCGCTTCGGAACATAAACCGCGGGCCGAGTCAGTGCTGAGGTGGATGGTGAATTCAAATAAGAGCGCGTCGCGTG